AACAAAATTAGAATTAATTGATTGTATTCTTTATTATGAGTAAAATTAGCTTTTACACTGTTAAAAACCCATGTGATAGTATTTTTTTTTTGACCAAATAAGGTTAAGATATACATTCAAAAATTCGGACTGATCGGCATTTTTTGATGAGTATAGGTGATACGCACCATACGTTTTTAAATAATGAATGATAAGAATGGTCACAAAATGTTGTTCCAATAATTACAACACTGCCTTAGAAAAAAAAAAATAAAGAATTGATGTATGTTGAGCACATTTTTAGTATTAATATTAAAGAAAAATATATGATATAAATAATGAAAATAAATTCTCTTTGTGATTTAATATTTTTTTTTTCTTCTAATTGTGTAATGTAATATTTATAATTATTATATACATAACAGTGACAATTGTAGAAGAAAGAAAATATAGGCTATTATTATTATTATTTAATTATTATTTAATTATTATTTAATGATTGGTTATTAATGAAGTCTTTCTTTAGCAGATAAAGGAATTAAGTACATTGTCATTTTAAATATAAATATGATATAATCATATAACAATATTCTTATAAATCTGTTTTTAATCATTTTAATCATTAGAATAATTATTAATAAACAAATATTTTATCTCTTGCAATTATATATTTTTTAAATACCTATCTTCCATAATTTTTTATTCATAATTTTTACCATTATATCAAGAAGTTTACAAAAAAATACCACATTCTACTTTTGGTAAATGAAGTAAAGATGTTGCTTTGTGAAAGTTAAAGAACATAATACACTCATCAAAGAAATCAACAAAGGTAGATCAAATGAAGAGATAGAAGTTGGTGACAATTTACCCACTCTGGTTTCAGACATAACAGTTGCACCAATTGATGAGATTGAAACTTCTTCACTAAAATATAAGAGACACAAAAAAACAATTGAGGAACTTGAAATTCTTCAAGAAGTGTTTATCATCCTACAGACTTACCAAAGGAATTAGCAAAAAGATTATTTGAAAATCTATTTAAAATAAATAATTCATGGTCATCTACTAAAGTTAGGGGATATTGGTAAAAAGAAAATAAAAATAAAATTACATTGAATTATTGCTTTTAATTACTTCTTCAATGTATTCTATCTAAATTAGATAATTCAATAAAATTAGTATAATGATCTAATTAAAAAAAAATTTAATACTAATATAAAATAGTCATAAATAACTTATAAAATTGTTTTTTGCCTTTAATTTCTTCCACCTCCAAGAAAACCAAACAAACCATATATTTTCTGAGAATTCTCAATGTACTCTATCTTATGATGCTAAAATGATCCTAATAAAATTGTTTTTCATAAATAATTAGGCCTTTAAAGTCAAAAAGCATGTGACTCTTCGGGAAGCTATTGCATATAACAAAACAAGCTATTGACAAGTAAAAAATTGAATTTAAACGAACAAAAGCACAAGATTCTATTTATTTAGAAACATAAAAATTGTTTATTGATAATCTTGTATTCAATTCTTCCTTCAAAGTCTGTTGTGCAGAAAATGTGCTATGTCGATCATATAGTAAAATCAGTAAATGTGAAATCTTGTCTGACTGGTACATGAACCATATTGTTTTACAGAATAGGTACAGAAAAATGTACGGAATCTTCCTGTTAAATGCACAGAAATGTATGGAATTTGTGTGGGATAGATATGGAGTAGGTGCAAAGTAGGTGCAGAATGTGTATGAAACATGCATGGAATACATATGGTTTTTATGGAAAATACACAGAATTCATTTTTCCCATACAGTTTCCACACATATTTAATTCATATGGGAAACATATGAGAAAAACAAATTCTATGTGTTTTCCATAAAAACCATGTGTATTCCATGACTATTCTGTAAAAAATATGGTTCATGTACTGTTTTACCATATGTTATTTTTTATAGGGTATGTTAGCCAATTAGCTGGCTAACCTGTTTAAGTCTGTCAAACCATTTATTAGCCAGCTAAGCTGTTCAAGTCTGTTAAACCATTTATTAGATGGCTAGGCTATTTAAATGGTTAAGCCATTTATTAGTGGCTAGATTTATTAATTGCACTATGAAATGACTTGTTGGTATTAGTATAATGTCCTGTTGGTATAATGTCCTGTCTTGTTGGTATATTGTCCTGTCGGTAAAACATCCTGTCAATGTAATGGAGTCGGTATAACAGCTGTTGGTATAATAATAATGTCTGTTGGTCAATCGGGCATGACCCCAGGATCAATCCTTTATCAACACATTTAAAAAATTGAAAAAATGCCCTTACAAAGAATCTGCATTTAATTTTCTTAAATATAAAATAAGTTTGTTCTTAATTAATTATTTTCATAAAATTCATCTAAATATGAGAGGAAGTAAAAAACTTAGCAACAAAGAATATTACTTAAAAATATTAAATAAAGAAATCAAATCAAAGTGTATTCCAACAGGATATCATACCCAGCAACTACCATCTTATAATAAATGTGATTATTGTTATTCTAATTTTGAAAATAATTATGATCAAGATGCAATAATGTTAATATTTGGTCATGCATTCCACAAATATTGTTATAAAATGAAAAAAATCAATGTACCCATTGCTTGAAATTTTATAATTTCCAACATAACTTCTTACATAAAAAGACTAGAAAAAGAAAATTTGAATGAGTTGTTGAATGAGGTTGAAGAATCCCATGTAACAGGAGATGAAGATGAAGAGGTGGAGGAGATATAACTGAAGAACAAATAATAGCTTTAGACTTTAAAAGTGCTTTTGATTTAATTAAATTTCAAAATATTTAAATTTAAATAAATTGTGTGCATATGTGTAGACTTTACTCCAAACTTTAGTTCATATCTAACTTTTGATCTAGCAATGATCTGAATGATCTTGGTTGGCCAAACAGTAAGGACAAAAATAACAATATTTCCATTCAAAAAAAAATATATATTTGCTACACCAGTTTTTTTTCACATATATGCCTTTTTTCTATTTTAAAACAATTTGTTACACTGCATAAATTATTGAATGTCACATTCGTCACATTTGATCTGCAACAGTGTCCACTATGCTGACTGTATTAGCTAATGATGAGTATTATGAAGAGGAGGAAGAATATAATTCAAATGAATTGGCATCATCATTTATGACAGCATTACATAATTCCAATTTGTAAAAAAAATTTTTTTATAATTATTTTGCTGTGCATATCAGAAAGATTTTTTTGATTTTAAGTTGTTTTGGAAATGGTTTTTATAATATAATTAATTTATATAGATTAATTAATATATATAAAAGTTATTTATGAATTTTTTAATTGTAGGTTTGACAGTTTAGGGGCTTTGCCCACAATTTAGGAGTTTTTAGGCAATTTTTGAGTTTCGCCACTAGTTTAGGAGCCTAAACTCCCAATGTCTGTAGGCGAAACTATTTTGGATTTTCTAAAATAATTTCAGCCACCATCATTAGTAAAGGATGGATGAATTCACATGCCCAAAACCAATCAACATATATGAGTTATTGCATGTAGAACATGCAATCATTCTTTGATTTTTTAGTCATTTTTGACATAATTATTGCATTCAATAACTGGTTTATTGTATGTCCAACTATGGAACCTTTCCAAATTTTCAAATGGAAATTTTAGATATTATGGCACTGATCACAAGTACACATCAATTTTTAAAAAACCTGAATATCTTTCCAAATTAAGTAAAAATTTTATAAAAAGGTTTTCTGAATTAAGATTTATGATCCAAATTAGGCAATTATTTGCAGTCTAATGTTTCAATTTGGCCTTTCAAACATAATAAACATAGTAATTTAGCTTGAGTTTAAAATGATATATCTCAGGTTCTATGCAACTGAATTGAAAAATCCAATCGTCAGTTTATAGCTTTACTTAAGATAAATGAAATGATGATTAGATTTTTTCAAAAAGTTTTCTCTGTCTTGCTGAATATCCTCTTTAGGAAAGGGTATTTTTATTGGATGTGTACTTGTGATTGGCACTATACAAAATAAAATTTTATGAATGTATCAAAATAATAAATATATGCAATTATAATAAAAAATGTAACTCTCTCTTGTGACAAACAATGAATATGAAACCAAGCTTGACTACAAAGATGGTTAAGATTAAAAGTCAAGCAAGAAAGATTTTAGCCAAAAGCAAAATTGTTTCTTCAACTTTTACTTGCAAGATAAGTAGTAATTGAATGAATATTATCCTGATTCAACACAGCTAGCTGAATTTAGGAAATAATGAACCAAGTGAAGTCATAGATTTAAAACTAGTTTCCTTTGGCTCATAACTAATTAACCAAATTAGTGATTGAAAACTGATACAGTGCCCAAAAGTTTAGATTTGGCCACTTATATTTCTATACAAGATCAAGCAAAAAGCACAATCCTACTAGTCATAATAATGATAGTAAAATAGATTGTTTCACAGAAATAAATTTCTTTATTAAGCTATTTTCTGGTTTTTAATTTGAATGTTATTTCACAAAAGCTTGAATTTTTCTCTTGTGAATTATCATTAATAGTTATCCTCTCCTGATGCAGTTGAACTTGAATTTGGAGTATATCTGGATGTGTGTATCTTTGACTTGGAACAATTTCTTTAGCTGTTAATTTGGATGTGCCAGTTACAACTTTGGTGAATGATTATTTCGGACCATATTTGTTATACCAAGTGGATTTTTCTGTTTTACCTATCAAATATGACAGCCAAATTTAAAGGTATATTCTTTTTTATCACATTTCCATCATTCAATTCAATAATTTGTGTATCAGCAATTTCATGTTTTTTTACCATCAAACTGACTATCATTTCTTGTTTTTGTAATTTGTTTTTCTTTTGCCATTATTATAAAGATAATTTCAATTTTTTTATATAAGGTATATAGATATAAAAACATCTCTAACCTCAAATCTCAAAATTCTATGATATAATAAGAATTAAGCAGCTAAAGCCTTAAGCTTTAATTCTATTGTTCTCCCTTTTCTTTAACTCTCCCAATTCAACTTTTAAAGACTATTAGATTACTTGAAAATATTTTCCTTCCATTCCAACTATACTGATCAATTAAGGATGAATTTCTACTTGGAATGGTACGATTTTAAATGATTCACCAACAGTATTACTAATATAACCACCATGATTTTTTGATGATGTTAAACTAAAAGTTTTAACCTTACAACACTCAACCTGTAATTTTAACATATAATCAATTTGGTGAATTTGTGTTTAAAATAAATAAAGACAATGAATTAAATAAATACTTGTATATTTTCACTTTGATGATCCACGCTAAAAAGAACATCAGGAGCATTTTTCTTATTGACAACATCTCATCTCTGGTTATTTGCCAATATTTCCATCATTTACACTCCAATATTTTGTCAACTATCAATTATGATAGTGATGATAGCTGCGGTGCTGGTGGTGGTGATTTATAAGAATTTTAATGATTTTGATTATCTACTTTATTTTTCTTGCAATTTTAATAATGAATTCACATTTATATCTATAACCTTGTAGAATTGTTTGCAAAAAAATAAAGATTGCTCATCTATTAATAAGCTAATATTGTTCAAATATTTTTTTAGTTTTTTTTAAAAAAAAAAACTTCCTGAATAATAATATACCATATTTATTTTGTGGCTTGATAAAAAAGGCCCACAATGCCTCATGTTTTCAGTTCCTAAATTGCAATCTGCAACTATTCCAAATATCTTTTTTTCCCAAGTAACTGAACAACCATCAATGTTTAATTCTCTGCCAAATAATAGATAATAGATAATAAATATACCATATACATACATATGAAACGAATTTAATTGTTGATAATTTTATTAAATGATTATTAAATGATTTATTACCTTTAATAACAGTAAGAGCAGAATATGCAGAGTTTAAACCTAGTGATTCATCATGTAAACTAATATTTAAAGCATCACTTCAATAAATAGATAGCAGGAATTACACCAGTAGGAATATCTCTTTGCATGCCAAAAGATCGTTAATAGCTTTATAAACAGTTACATTACCACTTATAGTAGCAACATATAATCCTAATTCAAGATTTTGAATAACTTTTATAGCTTTACCCTTTTTTTAAACTATTGAAAGGATTCACAAAAACTTTAAATGGTTTGATTTTTTTTTAATATATTAATTACAAGCATTATTTTCTTAAAATGTATTATTGTTGTTGTTTACCTGGATAGATATCGTCATCAATAGCGTCAGACCATGATTGATGGAATCTTCTTTTGGTACAAAAATAAAATATTTCAATTGATAGTGATTTTGTTTTTTGTAATCGCAGCTTTGATAATAATGAGAGACTTTTCAACCAAAGATAAATCAAGAATGGATCATTAAACAAACAAGAAACGAATAGATAAACAACCATTATTCTCCATGAAAGTACCCAATCTAAAAACTAAAATATTAAAATAATAATGCCAGTTTTAATTTTCTTTCTAAGTGAATGTAAAAATTGCATTTCCGTTATTTTTTCTTTACCATGAAATAAATTTATTTATTTTGGTAAAAAAAATAAAAATAAAAATAAAAGTTTATTATTTATTAATTTGCCAATTTTACAATTTTTTTTATCAAAATCAAATAAATAAAATTATAATTGAATAAAGCAAAAATTATATTTCCCAAATTTCCAAAAACTTTATTTATTAGATAGTATGTTTATGTATATTTATATATTTAAAGGCTATATTAACAAATTGCTGAATTAACAGCTAGAAAATAATAAAACTAATCAATGTAAAGGTTTGTGCGAATAAAAATAATAAAAATGAAAGAATAAAATCCCTAATGATAATAATAATAGTTAAAAGGGTATCAAGTATTTTAAAAATCATTCACACAAAAAACCGTAATATTTATAATGAATCATTTAGCACTTGTGTATTTTGTCACAGCTTTGGTTCCTTCAGACACTGCATGTTTTGCCAATTCGCCTGGAAGAATAAGTCTTACAGCAGTTTGAATCTCACGAGACGAAATTGTTGATCTTTTGTTGTAAGCTGCAAGTTTTGACGCTTCGCCAGCTATTCGTTCAAAGATATCATTTACAAAAGAATTCATAATCGACATGGCCTTATTTGAAATACCAGTATCTGGGTGAACTTGTTTTAAAACTTTATAAATATAGCTAGAATATGTTTCTTTTCTAGCTTTTCGTTTTTTAACTTTATTATCAGTATTAGTTGCTGCTGCTGCTGCTTTCTTTTTTTCGCCTGATGCTGCTGCTGCTGACGCGGCTGGTCCTTTTGAAGCTGGTGCTTTACCACCACTAGTTGCTGGTTTTTTTTCTGCTGCTTTTGGGGGCATTTTTTGATATTAAATTTTTTTTTTATTTTTACTTGAAAGAAATAACTTAAATATTTGAAACTATTATTATTATTATTATTATTATTATTATTATTATTATCTTGGTATTTAATAAAAATAAAAAAGAAATGAATAATACCTTTTTATCTTTTTATTTTTATTTTTTTTGGAGAAAGTTTTGGGAAAAATTAATCACACAAATCATAACCCTTTTTTATTTTTTTATACAAATTATAAATTACACAATATAGTTAGTTTGCTCAGTTTTAAAATTTTAGTCCTACCTTAAAAAAAATAGCTTTATTAGTCGATTGAATAAGTCTCTCTAGTTCTAATGTAATAGAGATATATTTTTTCAAAAAAAAAAATATGTACATAGAGTTCTTTCTTTATATTCTTTCTTTGTAAGGAATTTGAGCGCTAAGATCATTGCAAAATTTAGCAACAAGGTTAATTAGTATTAGCGTGGCGATTTTAAAGACATTTTTTGATTTATACCGTTATAATAGCTAACCAACAATTTAATGACAAATTTAATATATACACAGCATGGTTTCATTTTGTTTTTGTTTTTATTACACCAAAATTACGTGGGATCCATTTTGCAAATACCTTTAAAAATTTGAACGAATCACGGAGTCGCTATTTTTGAAATTTGATCTCGTGATGCAGAAATAGAAGGTCTTAGACCGTACCAACCCAGAGACAATGATTTTCTACGGTGACGAAACACTAATTCTGTCTATGCTAAAAAAATTTAAAAACACTAATATTATATTCTGCGGTTTTATGATTTTTCAAAAAAAACGAATCTATAGTTAAATGGTGCAATCAGAAAGAATAACTGCGCGACCATTAAATTGGTTATTATTATTATTATTATTATTTAATATTGTTATTTTTCCTTACTTAAAAAATATAACAAAATAGAAATCTAAATTTTGTCAATTATCATCTATAATTGCATTATATTTAGAAAGACTTTGTTCTACCATGTATGTATATTCAAATGCTATTTGAGATAAATGAGGTAAATTTTCGGCCATATTTGACAAACATTCCACAATAAATTGCCATTCACTTAATAAATTATTAGATGTATTATTTAATTCTTTAATAATATCGTATTGACGTATATCTATATCTCTTTGTGTTAAATCAACAAATCGAATGAATTTTGGATCAAAAATTTGACACGCACTAAAAAGAGGACACCCATGATGAGAGGAAATATGTGCTGCAAACTTTTGATGAGCAACTTTAAATGCATGTTATAAAACTCATCTGGGCGAAAATTATAATTAGTAATTATTGGACCCAAATTAAAAAAAATTTGTTGCAACCATGTTACTTCTTTCTATATATACAGAGATTTTGTGGTTGACTTTCAATAAAAGGAAATACTGGTTTTTCTAGATTGTAATGAGTCCAAATTGTTGTGAAAGGAGAGATATGAAGTTTTTAATGCTAATACATACATAAGATGATCTTTTGTATAATTAACCACTTGAAGCCAAGAATTCCATCTTGATTTTGCAAGGAAGAGGAATTTTTCGTAGTTGATTAAATCCATGAAATCGTAAATGAACCATCCATATACTGACGAAGACGTGCTGGACTTCTAGTGAACATTTCTTTAACTTTTTCTAATAATGTTTTAATTACTGAAAAATGATTAAACATACGCCAAGCATCACCAAATAAAAATTAATTTATTAGGTGCAACAGCAGAAAATATAAATTACTTCACGATAACATTTTTCATATGTGCAGCGAATGTTAACAAGTATATGGCCCACAGTTACATTATTTACATGTGCAAGAAAGTCTACAGAAACTAAATTTGTATTGTTGTTACATGCAAAAAGAGTGTTAACTACACTTCTTTGACACGCATCCGTAGTTTCATCCATGATTATAGCAACAGATTTTCGACAAAAAAATGTTTTAAGATTTTCCAAATGTGCAGAAAAAACCACCTTCTTTACAATGTTTTCTAAAAAAATTAAAGGGATATCTGCTATAGCAAAGGCTTCAATTAAATAGTGAATTGTAATTTTTTTAGTTTTAGAAGAGAAAGAGAGGTATCGAGTGTTTGTTGAAGTTGACGTTGTTTATTTTCATACAGATTTTCATAGTCATCAACTGCTGAAATTACAAAATCAACGCGAAATTCACCAGGATTTTTTTTACTCTAGTATTGAATGTAATTATTGTTCTTGTACATGAATTTAACATTAATAAAATAAACAATATTATCTTTTGTCATTACAGTCTACACTGTCTATAACGGATTTTTCTATAACAAACTTTTCTCTATCATATTAATAATTTTCCGTACCATTCCGTACCAATTCAGCACCAATTCCGTACATTTTTAATAACGGACAAATTTTCTGGTCTCAATGATCCGTTATAGACAGTGTGAACTGTATTTTTATTATTATTATTCGACCTAGTATAATGAATTTTTGATTTTTATAATCCTTTCTCATCTCCTTCCTCTTTTGTTAATTTTAAATAGACTTATTCTTCCCAAATTTATCAAAAGTTGTAATATAACCTGAATCTTTTTTTTATTTTCAAGAACCTTCACCACAAATGGTTTTGGTTCTTCATGGGTTCTAACACAATTACTACTGAACATACATTCATTCTCTAATTGGTGTTCTTGTTACTCTTTTTTAATAATATTGTCAAACCACAAATTAACATTTTTGCTCATATATTATTTATATTATTTATATAAGTATCTCTCTTTATTTTATTTATATGTGCGCGTGTATCTTTATTTTATTATTTTATTATTTATTTTACTATTCAATAAATGATTAATTCTGTATATGGTTCAGCCATTCATTACTAGACAGAAAATAAAAATCGCTTTATTTTTATTTTCAATGATGAAATTAATTTTGATTTTATTACAGGACAAAAGGATTAAAAGGGATTTCTTGGCTCCTTCTCTTTCTTTCAGAAGACTGTGTTGGTTTCGCAACTAACTTTTCGTTGTGAAAATTAGTAATAATATTAGTAAAAATTCGTAACAATAATGAATATACAAATGGTTCTGTGTATTCTGTATATTTTAAAGATTATAAACGGACAGAAGAATTCTGCCTGTGTATTTTATTTTACATTCTCTGGACAAAAGCTATCTGATATCTATTTTTACTAATAATGTAGCCTAGGCTTTCATAACCAATTAATTTTATGATAATTGGTCATGTTAACTTTGTCATTATGGCTATGAAGACAATTAGTCTTATGATACATTAAGATAATTTTCTATGAAGACATACTTTTAATAACATACCTTAATTAATGAAAATGTATGTACTGCAAGTGGTCAAAAATGAAGAAAATAATAACAAGTTTAACTAATAAATCAATAAACAAAACTACATAATGATATAAATTTTAATACAAATAGACATTCAAATATCTTTATCTGGAAGTGGATATAATATATATGTATTATAACGAAGGTTTTAAACATGGGGTTTTTGTATTTTTTTTAAAGATCAAAGGTTCTATGTATTAAGAAGATCAATGTCGTCTTACCCACTGGTTGTTTGAATATTTTGGTAATCGGTCAATCAATAGTAATAGAAGTTAATAGCCGGATAATCAGTCGAATTAGAATGTTTATAACTGAATAATCGTAATAGTAAATACCGATTATCCATTGGTTATTATTATTGTTGTTGTTGTTGTTGTTGTTGTTGTTGTTGTTGTTGTTGTTGTTGTTGTTGTTGTTGTTATCCGTATTATCCGTATATGCACAAAAATGTTTTTAGACCATTTTTTTATTTTATTATTCAAAGAGAGTATTATATTTCCATCAAAGATAGAGGTTGGCACCGTTAACCATTTAAACCATCAACCTTGTTGTTAGAAATAAATACAAATACCAAAACATCAATTCAATTTTAATATCAATTCGAATTATTTGTTTTATTCGAATTCAATGCAATTCGAAGACTCAAATTTATAACGAACAAAATAAATAATTCTTGTTCGAATAGAAACCCTACTACGACTATTTGCTAGTAGGAAAAAAGTTAAATTGCTATTATTATTATCAACAACTATTATTACTATTTGACTAAATAAAACTACTATTATTGTTATTATCACTACAAGGACTACGAAGGAAAAATAGAACTGATAAAAAATTATTTAATTGGATCGGATAGTGTATATACTACTACTATTACTTTTGGTTATATTATTCAGTTAAAACTTTTCACATGATTAAATTAACCCGGTTAACCGGCCAAAGAATTTTTACACAGTGCCAGGCTCTAATTAAAAATTAAAGAGCTAAAAATATTTCTAGTATTCCACAAGGATTAATAATAAATCTTGTGGAAATATTTTTACATTTATTTTTATTATAATTATTATTCAACTAATCACCGATTGCCTGACTATCTAATCGTTGAATATTTTCAACAATCGAATAAATCGGCGAATTTTATTCGCCACATGTTATTAAACCGTTGCAAGAGTAAAAGTGATTTTTGCAATAAATACCCACACTGAAAATCACTGAAAATCTTATACTAATTTGTAAGTTCATATTTCACTTTTCTATATATAGGATTGAGCCAAGAGAAATTTTAAAATTAAATCAAAAATCGTACAACATAAATTTCTTTTTTCTTTTTTCAAAAAAAATGAATCATTTGTATAATATTATAATTATCATCCTTGCTTCTTTTTCTACATTGAGTCATGCTCATGATCATCGTGATTTGTCTCAAGTAGATATAAAATTATGGACACATATAATTTTTATGTTTATAGCTTTTGCTTTAATATTTCCTATAGGTATAATAAAAATAATCTAACTTACAAACTATGATTAATAATTAATGATTCATAAATGTCGCTCATTTGTATATAGGAATGGTGCTGGGCTTAAGTAAATCCAAATGGCACGTACCGGTACAATCGTTAGGAACAATTATAGGAACCATGGGATATTTTCTTGGTCATTCACATGGAGGAAAAGAATTTAAGATTCATTCATCATTTGCATCAATAGTAGTCTTTTTATTCCTAGCTCAAATCGGTGCTGGAATATATTTAAAGTTACATCGTATTATTATAGGAAAAACTCATAATCTCAATAATAAACATTTTGCAAGATCAATAATACAAAAAATTCATAGCATTATTGGAATAACTTTTCCAATCACCAGTTATATACAAATCATATTTGGCATTATAACTTTGCCTGGTTGGTGTAAAGATGATCATACGGGTCAATGCCTTGCTCATTTTATCATGGTAATTTGCATACAAAGAAGCATTTAATAATTCTTGATATACAAAACCTATGCATTAATTATTAATGTTATTATTGATGGCAAAAAAACATTTAGGGGTCTTCATTTATAGGATATGGAATAATAATTATTATTATGTTGAAATTAGGTAGTGAATGGCTCCAGAAAAATAATAAATCCCCAGAATTTTATGATAGTATTGTTATGTTTATATGGGGATTCGTAAATACTTGGACTGAACATAGGTAATAAATATATATATTTGGAAAGAAAGTTGAAATTAGAAAATTAGACTATTTAATATAACAATACTAATTATTATTATCATAAATGAAAATATTCAACAAAGATGGAATACGCCCTGGTCACATAAAGATCTTCAAGTAAAATTTTTTTCCTGTATCTTTATATATAATGTTTATAAAAATATCTTCTTAATTTCTTCTTTTATTTTCTGCATTTGTGTTATTAAAGCATACAGGTATTTTGACCTTTCAACATATCAGTGCGTTCGATTGATCTTTGGTAATGCACGATTTATTTTAATCATGATTCGATATTTATTTACACAGCATTAGGAATAATTTGGTGGGCAGGTGGATTGGCTGGTTTGTATTTCACAAGAAATGGTAAAAGAAACATATTTCCAGCTCTCATCATCATATCTACAGGCTTTGCAATGAGCGCACATCAACAATCATCGGAGGTTTCAACAGTTATTCATGCTACATTTGGTTTTACTCTAGTTTCTGCTGGTTTAGCAAGAATAATTGAAATTTGTTTTTTCGAAAACATCTATAAAAATAAAAAATCATTAAATAATCCATTTTTAATTCTTCCGCCTTATGTAAGTATATCTATATACGTAAATTTTTTGTTTATTATTATTAACGTTAATTCCAATTATTTTTTTAAAAATTTTTTAGTTGTTGATATTATCAGGATTATTATTCATGGGAGCGAATGAAGAACAAATATATATTCTAATTTCATTAAATATTGATCCTTATTCATACATTCTAGTTCTAACGTCAATATCATTTTTAATATTTCTTTTCGTAAATCTTTTGATCGACTTGTACGTAAGAATCATCAATTACAAAAATATCGGAAATGGAAGTATTGGTGTATATCAAGAATTGAATGAATTGGAAATTTTATCATCATCATCCTATCGTATAACACCGAATAGTAATAATGATTTGAGAAAAGACGATGGTAATGGTGATGATGTTGAGAAAATTTCTTTTGAAGTTGATAATTTGTTACCTGATAAAAATAGATATTCCTGATGAAGTTTGAATTTGAACTTCAAAAAAAAAATTTTTAAAAATAATAAATTTCTAGATAGTAATATAATAATATATACAATTTTCTTTTTCCTTAGACATTGATTTTTAAAAATGGATATTTTTTTCACTGACAGGTGGTAATTCTATTGTAAAAAGTCAAAATATTCAAATCATAATTATCATCAACATTGTCCACAAGTTTTGGTAGAAATGATAGTAAAATCCACAAATTCGATTTCAGGAAATAGCATTACTATTATCCTAAACATCAAAGTGAGAAAATGTCAAAAGACATAAGGTCACGCACAAAGTACAAGAGATGTTTAATGATAGTAATAGATGGGAATATTCAGAAAAAGGTTTAAATACTGTACCGTTTTGATTTTGGTTTTGGTTTTACCTGTTGTTTCCATCTTGCAACATTACTATTAATGTCAACAGGATCGTCACAACCTTCATTGTTTGAAGGACCGGGAGCTAGAAAAAAAGTTAAGCAATCTTTCAAAAAAGGCTCAAGACTTGTACAAATGGGACATTTACTTGACATATATTATCTCGATCAATACATCTAAACATTTACTAAAGTTGTTTGCATCCGCGTAGACATCTAATGGACTTCTCCTTGTGTACCGCACCTTTAAAATTCCAGGAGCTGCGTTACAAGCTCTACGTTTCAAAAATCAATCGCAAGAAATAAAAATGATTGTAATGTAATATATATATGAAAATTGAATTTTTTCTTTGAATTCGGTTGCCCAATAACATAAGTGTACGGTGTATCAGAAACGCCAATCAATTGCCCTCTAGATATTGATTGATGCGGTGCCAGGCTTCCGGAAAATCCAGAGTGAAGCATCTCAAAAAGTCGTACCCTGCACAATATTGATTTGTTAATCTATTGCAGAAGTTAAAGAACAAACTATCACACAAAAGTTTCTTTGCTGAAACTGTAATCTTCACATGATCATAAGCAAATCTGTTCACGGGTTGTCATTGTCTCCTAATCGGGGAGTTTTTTGAACTGTTTGGCGTGCAAAGGCACAGTCGTTTTCGTGACAATCTCCCGTTGATCACTAAACGGATCATCAATTAAATTTTGTAGTCGCGTTAATTTTATTTCTACACTTACTTGTTCATATATAAAAAATATACAATGGCTAACATCGTTCATCCTCTTTGTGTTCCTTCTTCATACAAAGATCATCAATATCAAGTATTTCAAAAATTTTCATTATTGAAATTTTCAATTAAATTTTTTGCTAAATCATTATTAAATTAGGGATCTACTGTAGAACTTAGAAAAGATCTAGCCAACAGTAAAACTCTGTATGTTGGAAATTTATCATTTTATACAACGGAAGAACAGATCTATGAACTATTTTCAAAAGCAGGAGAAATCAAAAGGATAATAATGGGATTGGATAAGTTTCAAAGAACACCTTGTGGGTTTTGTTTTGTTGAGTAAGTTGGAAATTTTTATTTTTAAGGAAAAAAAAAGTACCTAATATTAATCATTGGAAAAATTTTTTTGTGAAGGTACTATTCACATGAAAATGCATTAGACTGTATGAAATATCTTAACAGTACTAAATTAGATGAAAGAGTCATTAGAACAGATTTGGATCCTGGATATAAAGATGGAAGACAATTTGGAAGGGGTAGATCTGGAGGTCAGGTATATAATAGATATATATGTTATAGAATTTATTTGTTTATTTATATGTGCAAATAATGCAATCTATATTTTATAAATAAATGAAGGTTAGAGATGAATATAGACAAGATTATGATACAGGGCGTGGTGGATGGGGGCATCTTCGTGCAAAAAACGAAGCAGAACGTGCAAGAAGACAAAAGGATGAATATGAAGCCATCACCTCCATTCCTAAGGGTGCTGGTGAATACAAAGGCAAAGGTAATGGTACACTCATATAAAGAGGATATTAATAATTTAGATTTGAAATGCTACAATATTATTTGTTAATCAACATCTTTTATTGTTGTTGCTGCTGTTGTTACAATAAATATTTAGGAACTAAGTCAAAAAAACGTGAAAGAGATAGCGATGATCAAGGGCAAGATCGTGAAAAGAATCCACGCTTTAGAGGAGACAAATCAGATGATGATGAGGATGAAATGCAAACTGGTGTTTAATATTGTACAAAAAAAAAAATCTTTTTATTTTTTTTTTTTTTGGAGGGTAAAATATTTTATTATTTTATAATCCATCTTAGAATGAAATTTTGCAGGTTCACTGATTACAACGAACCAGTGAGATTTGTCGCGATGTTCTTTTAAAAAAATAAATAATAATTTAACTTAATAATAAAACAAGTAACGAATGAATTGTAATATTATAAAATCAGATAGTGACAATGATTTACTGCAAAACAAAAAGCAATATTTTCTCTTGGTTTATCAATTTAAGTACAAAAGTTATGAGCTGCTACTTCACATGCCAAAGAATATTTAATATAATAAATAATACACATACGCTATGTTGCACAAACAAATATAAACGATTTTTTAGCCAATAAATAATGACAAAAAATTATCTGTTAAAAAATAAAAATAGATAAATGTCATCGTCAACGCAAAGACCTCTTCATGGAAAGAAAAAACTACCAGAGGAAGAAGATGCAACTAAATTAAAATTCGGAGAAGGTTGGTTTAATAAAATCAAGAATATCAAATAAATCAGTTTTTTAAAATTTTTACACCTTTTATACTTTATCAAAAGATTTTGAAAATGAAGAATTTCTTTTTGTGTCAGAAGTAGCATCTTTAATCGGAAGAGTTCCTGATAATCAAAAAAATACAGAGTTGGTATTAATATGGCTAGCAAATATTCATAATCAATATTAATATTTAATATAATTTGTTGTTGTTTTTTTTTTAATTTGATAGTGTTTATCAAAAAACATTGGAATATGTAAACACATTTACAAAATTTCATAATGAAGAATCATTAAGAGAATTAAGAAAGTAACAGTAATTATAAATAATTTATTCATAGTAGTTATTAATTATAATGATGAGGATGATGATAATCGTTTAATTTATTCTTTGAATATAGAACTTTAATGAAATATAAATTACATAAATATGAGTTGGCTCAATTAGCCAATTTATGTTGTGAAGAAGTAGATGAAGTACGTTCTTTAGTACCAAGGTAAAATATTATATGTAGTTCTTATCAAATATTTGATGGTAATGATATATATACACACTGATATTATATATAATATTAAATAATTATTAGTTTACAGTCAAGACCTGAAGAAGAACTTCGTGCTATGATTGATGATATTTTATCTTTAAAGAAATATCAAAGCTAGTAAAAATATTTTATATGACATTCATCTCTGTGAAACACAACTAAAAATTTGGGAATGTTTAAACCTTTGTTATAATAATAAATATTGATAACAGTATTTTTAAGATATGGATACTTTCTTGGAATTTGCTATAATATTATTTTAAATAAATTTATTAAATTTATTTATTTTTGTAAGTCATCAAACAGATCAGCAAAAAATTTCTATATATAATAAACATAATAAAGTCATCCAAATTTCTTAAAAAAATCCTATTAGTATATTAACATTAACTGTCAAATATTTTTTTCGATTTGGATAACATGATCAGAAAATGCATAACCAGTCCCTTGATGGACCTTCTTATATTGTAATAATTTAGTTTAGTCAAATAACTTATTATGGTTACACGTTCAATATTGACTAGAACACTGAAAAGATGGTAACACAATAGCTCTTACATACAAAATGGAAATGGCAAGTATTAAATATCAACTTTAACAAAGCTTTGAATTGATTTGTTTTATTATTTAAGATGCATTTTTAAAAAATATTTTTAGTCGTGTTCTGAGAAAAAAAATATAACAAAAGATGATTGGGTGAAAAAATTGTCAGAGGTTAAAATTGATAAATTGTATGTTGTTATTATTATTGTTAACATGTAAATAATATATAAGTTACTTTAAATTATTCTTCTAATGATGATTTTGCTAATAGAGAATTAAATAAACTTATCATGAACTACTTTGTGATTGAAGGATACAAAGATGCAGCTGAAGCATTTAGTCAAGAATGTGGACAATCCCCAAGTATTGATGTAGATTCAATAAAAGATAGAATGAATATAAAAAATGCTATTCAAAATGGCAATATTGAAGAAGCAATTGAATATGTAAATGATTTGAATCCAGAGGCAAGCATTAAATTTGTTGTATGAATAACTAGAAAATGGTTATTGCACCACTTTCAGATCATATTACATCATGATCAATGAAAATAAAAACCACTTCCAGTCTTTAAAATGAGTCAATGTTTAGGTTTATACATATATATAAATAACAATAATTATTATATTTATTTTTCTTCTATATAGATATTAGATACAAATCCAAAATTATGCTTTCATCTTCAACAACAAAGATTAATAGAATATATTAGACAAGGAAGAATAACCGAAGCTCTAGAATGTGCACAGGATGAATTAGCACCACTTGGGGAAGAAAATGTAAGTTAAGCTTTAAATAAATAAATAAATATTCATGCATGTATATATCTGTATAAATATAAATACACATTGCATTTAACTAATTTATATATATGTGTGTACCAAAAATTCAAGACTGAATTTCTTGAAGAACTTGAGAGATCAATGGCATTATTAGCATTTGATAATACATCCACATCTCCTGTAGGATATTTATTCCATACATCACAACGTTTACATACAGCCAGTGAGCTGAATGCTGCAATTTTAACTTCACAAAACCAACAAAAAGATCCAAATTTACCAAATTTATTAAAAATGTTGGTTTGGGCTCAAGATGAATTAGATGAGGAAGTAACATATCCTAAAATGGAAAGTTTAACAATTGCTGAATTAATTGAAACTAATAACAATAATAATATCATTGGTAATGGTGATGGTGATAATGATATTAATAATAATTTTTCTTCTGTAAACATAAATGCATCAGCGTCAACATCTATTTCCAATTCTATATCAAACTCTACTATAAATCTTTTATATTTACCAATCTAATAATGATGTATTTCCTTTTTTAATCACATTTAATATCAAATAGCATAATTTCAATTTCTTCAGTTTGGATTTTTTTTTTAAGAAAAATGGTAAATTAATTATTAAAATGAATGAATGAACATGATTTAATGATTTATTATAATTGAATAAGTCTTTGGATCAAGAAAAACCATGCTTTATTCATATTATGGATCATCATGTAGCCAGAGAGATGAATTGGAAGAAAATTTGGTTATGATATTATACTGTTTAATTTGATAAAGGAAGAACATGTATGTATTGAAAAAAAGAGATCATAACTATATTAAAGACATACACTTTTCCTTTTTTTAAGGACCAGTCTTTTCAGTCTCAAAATTTGAGACCAAGGATTGAGAAGACCAGTTCAAAGACCAGTCCTTAATCAGTCTTTTTAGGACCGATCCAATCTTACTCAAAAACCTTTATTACCATCAAATGATTCTTATGAAAAATCATTGGTAATTAAATTTTTTTTGGAAGAAAAGATGTCAATTAATTAATTATATATATGGAATTAAAGCTCCGGATGAGCTGAGCCAGCTCGCATATAAAAAAGTGCTGGCCCGAGCCGAGCTCCAGCCAACTCGAAATAAAATCACGATTCTGTTTCTAATAAAAAATACCTTTAGGTCCTGAATATATTGCATATAGCCAAACATAAGAAAATTGCATTTAAAATTCAATTACTAATCACACTTCAATGAGTTTTATGTTTTTAAAAATTTATATTTAATTACAATGTAATGTTTGCTCAAATATTTGTAGGGAATTAAAACGAAATGCAAACTGTTTAAAAAATCTTTATTTATTATTGAATTAAGCTAGAGTTCCTATTCATAATACGAATTCTTATTCGAATTATTCCTTTTATTCAGTTTATTTATTCATTCTATTCGTTTGTTTATTCATTCTATTCGTTTGTTCGTTTGTTTATTTGTTTTTATCCGTTTTATTTGAATTATTTCATTATTCGAACCATTTGTTTTATTCGTTTATTCGAATTATTTGTTTTTATCTGCTTTATTCTCTAAGTCGAGCAGATTTGAATTAAAACTTGAATTTTCATGTTCGAGTTGAATTCAAGAAAATATCTTAATTTTTTTTTAGATGATGCTCATAAATAAAATAAAAGTATTAGAATTAATCATTCGTTACTTTAAAAATTATGTAACGTCAAACTCGAGCCTAGGTCGAGCTCGGCTTTAGCCATTCTTGTTAAAATTCCTGACCTTCTCATCTGTCATCTATGTATCCTTTAAATGGGTCTTCTGGGTCTTCTAGTCAACCTTCTCCATTAATTTTATTTCATGCTTTCTCCTTGGTAATTTTTTAGTGGTGTATTTGTACAATCTATTTGAATATGTCTTTTTCACCATTCTTATCATATTGTTTATTGCTGCAGTATTTTTTAATATGTTTTTTTTCTTTACATTCTTTACATTCTATTTCTGGACAGTCTTTATATTGATGATCTGTCCCTTTACAATTACTATATTCGTAGTTTCCGTTGTTGCTGTTCATTCGATTATCTCTTCCAATCCAATTATTTCTTTTTCTTGGCTTCTGGATTTCCAATTATTTGGGGAGAGTTTCTTTGATCATAATAATTTCTTTGATAATAATTTTCTGGTGATTTATTGGTCTTTCTCCATTCTTCTTTTCATTAGCCCCCTGATGAGGTTTCTCTTGCTCTTTTGGAGGTTTATCCCAACCTTTCAGTTATAGTTTCTTTCTGATTAATTACTTTCTTTTCTTTTATTGATTTCTCTTCCAATTATTTCATTTTTCAGATTTCTAATTCTTGGATTAGTTTTTCCTGTTGATTGTTTAGTTATATTATTTGTTGAAATACATTTACCAGAAAGTCGGAAATAGTTTATTGTGATCTATGGTTTTTTATTGCTTTACAATATAATAAGGAAGATGTTAAATAGTAAAAAAAATTAAATTGGAATCATACAAATAAAAGTTTCACATATTGGGAATTTTTTTCAATTAAAATTAATATGATCAAAATACATTTCATACTTCAAGGTCATTTAATAGTTTGGATTTTTGAAAGAAAATGACTTATTTATAAAATTATGCACACTTTGGCTCTATATTCCCTCAAGGAAAGCATCAGTTTCTCATTCAAATTACAATATGACGTAACTTGATGAATTTTTGTTATAACGGAGCTTTTTTAGTTACATTTATAATAAAATCAACTAATAACTTGATAAGACGAATAATGTCGGAACTTTGTATATAAATGATTTACATTAAAAGAAATGTGTGTTTTAAAAACAATTGAAACCTACGCTAACGAATAAAAAAAGACTTTGCTACTTGTTGTTTATTACATAAAAGTTCAATAGTACGTCAAATGAATATATAAATTTTGATGTATAACCTTTTAAATCGAATTTTTTTTAAAAACATATCAACTTCATTTTTATCGAGGACTACTTAATAAAGAGAATTTTCAAGCCTAAAACAAGTACATCGGTTTAACGAGTTCTGGCTGTGTGCCCCATTGCTCTATTTCCTGATCAGAAACATAAAACCAGTCAAATTCCCCATCCAGAACTTTGATATTAAATGAACCAACTTCATTATACTTACTGGGCCAACAAATTGTTTGAAGAAAAAGCAAACTTGGGCAGTTTTCCCATATATTATTTTTTTAAAATTCAAGATGAAACAAATGCATACTGTATTTGCCCTTTCATCAAGAGCATCACATCACCACAAATAATTCTATTAATAATTGTTGTCAATAGATAAATTTTTTTGTGATTATATACACTCCCTGGACAAAAGTATCCGGACACCTGTTTTTACTAATTATACAAAAACGCGCATAATAACTACACATAAATTTTATCAAAATGTAGCTTAGGTTTTGATGAATATGCATGTAAATTTTGATACTCTCAAAACGTCTAAAAAAATTTTAATTAAAAAAATCCGAAACTCGACGAAAATGATGATGATCAACAAAATATTTATTTTGTGTAAATAAAAAAAATGAAATAAAACTTAATATTAATATCGAGTCGGCCATCCATCGCTAGAAATGCATGTCTCGATCCTTCTAGACATGTTTTCTATTAATTTGTAGTAAGTTTCATATGGAGTTCGTTGACT